ACAACACTATCACACCACAATAACAACCAGACAAGGAAAAGGAAGAATGTACAAAAAACCCTAAGAGGGAAAGAAACCCTCACCACCCTCTCATGTTATTATCACCGTTAGAGAATCCATTCTCCCCCTTACCTGAATTATGAGCTTTTCCTTCCTTCAACAATGGTGGAAATTCCTTGTTATTCTTGCCTTAACTCTCTCTCCTTTTCTCTTTCTCTTTTCATGTAGAAGAAAACTGATCCTCTAACCTCCCCACTAATTCCTCCTAATTATGTTATTAATTCCTTAATTCTAGCAATAATAATGGTCATAATAACTTAATATTCCAAATTATAATAATGTTAATGATTATAATAAAAATAATATTAATAATCATACTGATAATATTAATGATAATACAAATAATATTAGCAGTAATAAAATGCCTCATTATTCCCATTATTATTATTATAATGTTGTCCTAAGACGTAATTTAATTTAATACATTATACTAACTCTCACACCCACCCTAACACACATGCCCTTTAACCAAACAATGCCCAACAATCACATAAAATAATAACAAAACGACTAAATAATTAAATGGGGTGTTACACGAGGAACTTGCATGAATAATGTGGTCCTTGCTTTAACTCAGCCAAGTCAATCTCGTTTTTGTCAAAGTCTAAAGGGTCAGTATATGCCTCTTGATCATCTTCGTCTATGTTAACATGCGCTACCTTTTTCATCCCATTATTCTTAGTTGCCCTAGCTTTTTCAGCCTTCAAACATTCCACCTATCGAATCTTATTGGCTAACTGGGCCATATCTCTAAAATACTGGGTATCTAACTTCTTTCTGATGGAATAATCTAACCCACCAGCTGCCATTTCAACCGATTCATGTATAGGAACTTGTGTGAAACACCTTGCCTTTAACAAACGAAACCTAATAAGATAGTCGTCTATTGGCTTAGCAAACTAACACTTAATACTAGCCAATTCTTCCAGACTTATCTTCAACTGTTCATGTATAGGAACTTGTATGAAACACCTTGCCTTTAACAAACGAAACCTAATAAGATAGTCGTCTATTGGCTTAACAAACTAACACTTAATACTGGCCAATTCTTTCAGACTTATCTTCAACTGCCCCATGTAAAATTGTTCATGGAACAATCTTTCTAAACGAGTCAAATCATGAATCGAACTCGCTGGGCGCGTAGTGAACCATGTGAAGGCGTTTTTAGTAAGTGAACTAGAGAAGTCTTTTATTCTTAAGTTTTCGTCATTCACTAGATCTTCCACTTCAGTCAAATATCTCACCACATGTTCATCAGTTGACTCACTAGTATCTTATGAAAATTTAGTGAATTTTGGGACTTTTAATTCCATAGGCAATGGAGTTTGCAAAATATAACCAGACAATGCGAAAATATAATTTAGCTTATGAAGGCCAACATTCGCCTATTTTGTGCTATAATCCTTTCGACCATGGCAGCCAAATTATTATCACCAACCATACCATCATTTCGAACTTGATGTATGACTTCGTCTACATCTTGATTCCTATTAACTATCACCACCTCTAGTTCTTGTTCCCTTGGAACTGGTTGTTTAACCCTAGGAGGTTCGACTCTAACTCCTTGATCAACCACATCGACACGGGGTAAGTTTCGCTAGGCAATTGTTGGATCCTCTTCAAGGACTGCCCCCTGGTCTTTGACTAGAAACTTCCTTCGAATCTGTCGAGGTGCTTATGAGACTCCAAAGAAATCTACATTTATAGTCATCTGTGCTGCCAATTTCTGGTTCGTTTAAGTGGTGTTTTGAATCAAAGGATTAAATATACTGCCTATTTGTTGGGCCAGCATATGGACCATATAATGGTTACTCTCGTCCATTTGCTGTCTCAGAACCGCTGCAGAATTCGTTGTAAAATTAGCCATTTGGGTATTGAATCCCATCCATTGGGATGGGTTAATTCGACCCATATTATTTACAGCGGATCCAGACTCTTGCACGGGCGAAAAACGTGTTCACCATTGGGTAATCAAATGCTACAATTGCATTATGCAAATTAGCCATCATTGAAGTTGGCATACCATATGGCTGTTCTCAACCTTTTAAGGGCATTGTGAATCCAGACACAAAAGGCCTGAATGAACTAGTGCCCGCTGGATGAGGGGTCAATGGCTGCCCCTGGATCCTCACAGGAGACAAGATAGGTCCATTATAAGCATTTGACGGTACGACCGTCGTACTTGTTGTGGATGAAACTACTTCAGACACGAACGTTGTGGTCGTAGATTCCCCCGTTGAAGGAGGGGGTGGTTCTCCATTATTATTTGGAGGATTCACCATCGTTACACGTACACGTCTCCTTAGTCTCGCTTCGTTATTAATGGTTATTTTACCACTTCTTAATCTCATACAACAAAGTCTAAAGGAAACCAGAAATGAAGAACTCCTAAATATTTTTACAAATTCTAACTAACAATACTGGTCCTAATGGGCGTGCCAATTTGTTTATCGTTGAAATTGGTAAACAACCGCTAGTCCTCTAAAGTTATTAAACCATTGGTCACTTACATGATCAACTAGATTCATCCTAGGACATGTGTTGTTATTTAGTTTCTAGATTTATTAATGGTGAATATTTCGACAATGTTCTTAAAGTTGTTAATGACGTGTTGTAAATTCTTTAAGGAAATGCAGAAAAGTAAGTTAAAAAAAAGAGCTTCAAGTTAAATAACTAAATCTTAAATATCAAAACTAGATTTAAAGTAAATTTCAACAAAGGTAAATGGTAGGAAGAATCTTAAATAATCTGGTAAAAATACGAAGTGTGATGTTCATACGTACATTGTTAATCAAGAGTACTCTTTTCTCACACACAGGTACTTAGAGGAAATTTAGAGTTTTTGTACAAGTTGAACATCCGGAATCCTAATTGCTAAGACCTTATTTATACTAAATCAAAAATAACCGTCATCTAACGATTTTTTCACCAGAAAGCATCACGTTTCCAATCTGCATGTAGTTCATCGCTTCAAAGCTCTCCACATGTCTTGAAAACGAATAAAGTCAAAAAACAGTTATCAGCCTTAAATTTGAATTGCACCTGTCAAACGCTTCTTCATGTAATTTCGCCGAACTCCAATATAGGAAAAAAATATTTCTAAGTTCTAGACCATAGCGTCCTCATGCAAAGGTTTCTTCGACTAAGTTTTCATATACGTCGAAATGTTCTTATCACTGTGCTGTCGAAATCAACATATTCTTCTTTAGAATATGTCTTTGAATTTCATGAATTGTTTCCAACATTAATGAATTTCGAAATCCTAGCGAACATAGTCTAAAACTAGATTCCCTAGTTTATTACAAATGTGCATGTAATTTATCACATTATCCAAAATTACTTATATTTTAAAGTACACTTCCTAACTTTAAAGAAACTTAATACAAACTTCTTAACTGTTATTTTGAATATTCCACCTGCTTGTCCCATTTCAAATTCTTAAGAAGTGGAACATCATCATAAATATCAACAATATTCTCTGCATTGGCTTGTGGATCTCTGCAACCAATTAATATCTTCAAGATTTCCTTTATTGACGATCTACTAGCCGACAGTGTTGAAGTGCACATAAGCCCGAGTTTAAAGAATGAATCCACAAGCTTTTGGTCTAACTTTCTGCTATTACCCCTTATCTTTTACACTGCAACATAACCAAAACCATCGTTAAGAGTAACACGATACACAAAGCCAAATCCACCGCTTTACAACTTTATTAAATTTGTTGACAATTAATACTATTGCTTTACAATTTTAATCTTCATGAAAACAAGTTAGTTAATGTATTTAAATAGTATTTATTACAGATTTTATAAAACACGTGACATATTTAAGAGTGTGATGATAAAGAATCAATTAATGCAATTAAATTTTTTTGAAGAGGTCATGTGAATTTACTACAAAATATCTATGATTTTAGCTATCAAATAGCTACGAATTTTTATGAGTTCCAGTATAGTGTTGACTTTAGCCATGTGACATTGCCATGTCAACATCTTTGCAACATTGACACTGCCATATGTGCGTCAAGTCACCAAAAAACTTCCACGTGGCGTGTCACGTAAGCTTCTGTTAACGAATGTTGATGGGAGAGACAAAAAGTATGGACGAAAAATGTTAGAAAGATTATTCTTTGAAGAATTTTTTTTTTTTGAAGATTTAACAATAAAAGTTGCAATATTTATAAGGATCAAAAACATATTTAACCCTTAAAAGAATAAGGACTCAAATTATTCCAAAAACAAGCAAGTCTAACATTTTTATCAAACAAATCAAATTAGAGTTGTCATGTAGATTCATATAAACCTATTTCTTATACATTTTAAAAAACTATTTTTTTTATATTTTAAAAAAGTATTTTTATTAGAATCTTTTAAAATATTAGAACTTTTTAAAAATATACTACTGTACAAATTTTGGCTTTAAAAAAATTTAAACAAACCGTCCTTAATTTACTCCCACCACTTTTCGAAACTTTTACTCAAATAATCCTTTTTTTAAAATAAATATGCAAACTAACTAGTCTTTTTTAGTTATTTTTCAAACTAATTCACTTTAAAAAAGATAAAAATTTAATAAGGAGGAGTCATCATTTTAATTGATGATAGGGTACAAATAAATAAGAAAAGTAGCCAATTTAACAGTTCTTATATATTTATAGACTGTTGCCAATTTAGTTCATAATTGTTAAATTTTTATTTTTTTAAATGTAAATTAATTTGAGAAATATGTTGAAGAATCAAGAATGAGTTACTTTTGGATATTTATTTAAAAAAAAATGGTTATTTGAGTAAAATTTTTCCACCTTCCTTTTTTTTAAGAGCAAATTGTTTCGATTAATTTAATGTATGTATTAGGATTAGGATCATCAAAAGCCCTAAAACAACAAACATCAAAAGCAAGAACACAAATTACAAACATACACAAAGATTCTGAACGGCGCAATGGATTCCGAGTTTCCCAACAAAGCATTAACAACAACTCGCTTTTCCGACCTCAAACCCCCACTTTCCGATCCCGTACTCCAAGCCCTCACACACTCCGCCTTCGATTTCTGCACTCCCGTTCAAGCCGCCACAATTCCCTTACTCTGCAGCTTCAAAGACGTCGCCGTCGACGCCGCCACCGGTTCCGGAAAAACCCTAGCTTTCGTCATTCCACTTGTCGAGATTCTTCGTCGCTCCTCTTCCAATCCCAAACCTCACCAGGTTCGTTACTCCCTCTCCTCATTCCACTTATTGCTCTGTTCATTCAAATTATGAAGCCTTTCGTTGTTTTGTAGGTTCTGGGGATAATTATATCTCCTACAAGGGAACTAGCATCCCAAATATATCATGTTGCACAACCTTTCATTTCAACTTTAGCCAATGTTAAGTCAATGCTACTAGTAGGTGGTGTGGAAGTAAAAACAGACATGCAGAAAATTGAGGAAGAAGGTGCAAATGTATTGATCGGAACACCGGGTCGATTGCACGACATTATGAATAGGATGGATGTTATGGATTTCAAAAGTTTCGAGGTATATCATGATGTAGTTTCATGTTTTAACTTTTAAGATTCCTTATATTTCGTGGTATCTGTGTATTAGTAGGAGTAGGGTTTTGATATTGTAACTGTGTCTGCAGATTTTGATTTTGGATGAGGCTGATAGGCTCTTAGATATGGGATTCCAGAAGCAGATAAATGCTATCATAACTCAGTTACCTAAGCTTCGAAGGACTGGTTTATTCTCGGCTACTCAAACTCAGGCTGTGGAAGAGCTTGCCAAAGCAGGATTGAGGAATCCTGTGAGGGTTGAAGTTCGAGCAGAAACAAAAACTGCAAATGGTGCTGCAGCATCAAATCAACTAGAATCTTCAAAGACACCTTCAGGTCTTCACACCGAGGTATTACCTATGAGGAATGCCATGGTGATTTCATTTATGCTCATCCTTTTCTTATACTCATAATCTTCTTTTACTTTTGAGCTTGCAGTACTTGAAATGTGAGGCTGATAAGAAGCCGTCGCAGCTAGTAGATTTCCTTATTAAGAACCGCTCGAAAAAAATTATAATGTAAGACACACAATGTTAATAATCAATTGTGTAATTTGTGTTGTAGATGAATACCTTATCATACTCAAAACATTGTTTTTGCTCTAATGCAGATATTACATGACTTGTGCTTGTGTTGACTATTGGGGAGTTGTTCTTCCCCGGCTTTCTGTTTTGAAAGGCTTCTCCTTGATTTCTCTTCATGGAAAGATGAAGCAGGTATTTGTTTGACTGTTAGCAACTAAGCATTTATCAATATTGGAGTGTATTATTCTACTTATCAGCATTGTTTTTCTTACCACCCATTATTATTGTCGAACATCATTGTTCGTATACTTATTTGGTTATTTATTTTCCATATAGAATGTGAGAGAGAAGGCACTAGCTTCATTTACATCCCTCTCAAATGGAATTCTTCTGTGTACGGATGTTGCAGCACGTGGACTTGACATACCTGGCGTAGACTGTATAGTGCAGGTAGCTTTGTGACACTGTAGTTGCTACTGTCTATTGGCCACTGTGTTTCATCTTCTCTCGCTCTGTTGCCAAATTTAAAAATACAACATGGCTCAAATGTTTCTTCATACTCATATTTACCATTGGAACACATTTGTATCAAATGCATTTACTTAATACAACCTCTGTTATTGCACAGTATGATCCTCCTCAAGACCCAAATGTTTTCGTACATAGGGTTGGTCGAACTGCTCGGCTGGGTAAACAAGGACATGCGGTTATCTTCTTATTACCAAAGGTGTGGTCGCAAGTATCATGCTGTAGTGCCTTCTAATAATATACATAAGACTCTTTAAGTTGATCCTTTTTATGGTAAATTGATCCATGCAAATGTGTAGGAGGAATCTTATGTAGAATTCTTGCGTATAAGAAGAATTCCACTTCAAGAAAGAACATGCTCTGACAATGCACCTGATGTTATACCCGAGGTTTGTTCTCGGCCTTTATTATCTTAATATCTTGCGTTGACATGATTTATAGATGCAATAGGAGGGTCCATTTGTTATGTTTGTCAATGGATAGTAATCAAAACTTGTTTTAGATTCGTTCTGCGGCAACAAAAGATCGCGATGTCATGGAGAAGGGAGTCAGGGCATTTGTTTCTTACATTCGTGCTTATAAAGAGCATCACTGCTCTTATATTCTCAGGTGAGTAATGTTCACATATAATTTTGCTGTCACTCAATGATTGAAACATCATTATTGTTGAACGGCTCTCACTCTTACAGGTGGAAAGAACTTGAAATTGGCAAATTAGCCACGGGACATGGCTTATTGCAACTTCCTTTAGTGCCGGAGGTAAAACGCCATTCACTATCTACTGAGGGATTTGAACCTGTTAAAGATATCAATTTCGAGGACATTAAGTTCAGGTAAATACATTTTAATAGAATAACCTTTCTAATTATCAATATTTCTGAAAAGCTTAAGCTGATAAATGTGTCAAAATATAAGAAAATTATCTTGTAATATCATCACATCATTGTTGTTGATCGCTGATAGCGTGAAATAGCATAATGTTAAAAAAATTTTACGCAGTAGTGATATAGCCTATAGCATAATGTTAAAAATTTTCTACGCAGTATTGCGGAAAAATGGCAGTTTAACCAAATTCCGCTATGATATAGCTGCTATTTAACAATTTCACATCACCTTGAATTGTCTAATGGGATTAGTTTATTATCTTAGAGTATCTCTTTAAATTAGTTTCTATATTACTTCGTTATTATTATGATTTTTTTTCCTATTCCATTAGGATTAGGAGTCCTGCATTCCTATCCTATAAATGGGGTTAGTAACCTTTTAGAATGGTCTGATTATCATCAAATCTTCAATCATAACTATACCCTACTATTTATTCTTTCTCTCATTTCCTTAATCTAAAACCCATGTCTTCCGCAAGATGAATGCACATGAGTCTTATTTATGGGCCCTTTGCATTGTCCATATCTTCAACTAGATAAAAGCTCGTGAATGAGCTTATTATGGGCCCGCTTGTTTAGGATTCTGAAAATTATTTTTGATGTAAATACTATCAAGATTATTCTTTGGAAATTTAATAAAAACATTAACTAGGGTTGAAAGAACATCCAAATTGAAAAATTATGCATCTTAAAATAGCCTTTCATTAATGTGGTTGAAAAAACATAGATGCTACAAATGATGTTTTTCTCCCTCTTTTATCAAAAATGATTTTCTTTAAAAGTTAATCAAAATAGCTCCTTCACTTATAACATAAAAATCATTTTTTAACAATGATTTTTAGAAAATGCTTACACACTGGCATAACTAAAACAAAAAAATGGTTATTTAAGAATCATAAACAAACAGGCCCATATCTAACCCACATCGAGTCTTGAGAGCCTAAGCCTGTTATGCTTGAAGTATGGACAATGCAAAGGGCCATCCAAACTTGTGGTGAAATTGAATATTTTTTCTTTCAAGAAATAGAAGTGGCAAGGATCAAATTCCGGCTTATCTCAAATTCCGGCAAGGATCAAATGACAAGCCGTGTTATCAAATTGTGGTTATGGCGGCGCCATGGTGGATTGTGGGATTTCAACATAGCGCCATGGAAAAGTGGTGGCATTGCGGGCTTTGCATCATGGCGCCACGGCTGCTGCCACGAGCTTAACAGTTATGACATTGTGGAGAAAAAAGTGGCTCTTTTTCAATAAAAAATCTGAAAATTTGTCTGGGTATTTTTTTACCGGACCTGTAAATAGGTCAAAGGATTAAAACCCTAATTAAACACTAACCGCCTTAATTAAACAATTATAAAAGACTAGAATTCTGTTTTATTTTGAGAAGTTCTCACTGATGTCAAGAACGTTCTCCCTTCAAGCTGTTGGGTAAAAACTCATAAATGGTTGTAAACTTTACAAGCATCAGATGTAAATATTTATCTTTGCAAATGAAAAACATATATAGCTTGCATCTGTCTTAGTTTGATATTTGAATCTCACAGTTCAAGGACTCAATTACAACTATATAGTCCTTTAGCTTAGCAGTCGGCTTGAGCTACCTTAATTTTTCGTGATATGTATTAATTTTATAAAATTATAAGTTTATAATTATACTACAATAAAATTTATTTTAAATTATAATTCAAATTGGGCTTGAGATTGGGCATGAAAAACAAAATTGGATTGGAGCTTCATCTTCTTTTTCAAGCTTCAATGAAATTTTTTCCCATTTTCTTGAGTCATGGGTGGAAACTTACTCTTTAAGATACTATGAAGTGGGGAGGGATTAGGAAGCCATTCTATTGCGTACTTAGTTTGATGATCTTGATTGAGAGATTATCCAATTCCCCTTTGAAGAGGGGGTGGCAACTGACACAAGATTTACAAATAAATTTTACAAATGTGCTACTGGCTTAAAACTTTATAGGGATAAATCAAGGGAGAAACAAAGGAAGAAAAATCTGCAAACAAAGAAAGAAGCCAAAGAGAAAGAGCCAAAACCTAAAAAACCAAAGAAAACTCCCAATGTACCCGATGTGATGAGGAAGAAAACAGCCAAACAAAGACGTGCTCAGCAGACTGTTGAAGATGAGGAAGAGTTGACGCAAGAATACCGCTTGTTGAAGAAATTGAAGAAAGGGGTCATAGATGAGAATGAATATGCCAAGTTGACAGGCACCGAAGATTTACTTTGAAAGCAAAGTTTACATGTCTGATTACACTACCATGAACATCGTTGTTGGTATTGTAATGAGTGCAGAACTGATTGAATGTTCTTCAGATAACCAATGGGCTAGTAAGCCACATGATTCTTCTTCGGGCATACTCTAAAAGATCTGACATATATACATCTTTCCATGGTGATGGACGTCACAGAGTTCAGAGGACTGACTTCCTTTTCGTTGCTGATCGAGAGGCCTTATCGGCCATAGATGTGCTGACTGACATTTACAGATTAATGTACATAGAAAGTGTCACGGTGCAGAGAAATAGTCTTTTAAGGTTATGAACATCATGAAGATTGATTTTTATCCAAAATTTTGTATGCTTACTATATCTAGGTATTTTAATGTTCTTCACTTATATTAGTATTTCACGTGCCTTTGTTTAGTCTTCTAGGTATTTGTAACATTAATAAACAAAGTCATACTGAACAATTTTGTTTTGTACTCATTTCTTATTATGCTTTTAGTTTCAGTCTAGAGGTAGATTAAGCGTTGAATTTAACTTTGCCAGTATGATTTCTGTAATGGGAAGAAGTTTTTCCATCTTTGGAGGTCCTTTGAAGCAATATCATAAAGTCATTAAGGAGGCTAAGCAACTGAATAACATGATCAATGACTTCCACTCATTCAAATTTTAAAAATTGCGTATAAGTTTTCTTTCTAATCAAGTTTTTATGATTTGGTTTAGAATTTTTACTAATATAGTTCATTGAGATGTATGATTTTTTTGCTAAAATTTGGACATAATTTAAAATAGCTTAAAAGCTAGTAGCAATTTGATAAAGTTAGTGGTTGAATTATTTTACTTGTTCAAGATATCGGAGATACAATTGAGATAAAAAAGTGTAAGCTAACGTGGCGTATCTAAGTCATGGATATGAATCAAATAACCAAGGGCATGCCCCCCATAATAGGGACAATAAGCATCACTTTCCTCTAGGGCTGACAATGAACCAAACCAACTCGAAGATAGTTCGGAATTCGACTCGACAATTAAATCGTTGAACTAGGTTCATGAGCCAAATGAGTTGAGTATGAGCGAAAAATTAAGTTCGTTAACTAAATGAGCTGAACTTGAACTATACATAGTTCGACTCGTTAGGTTCATGAGTCAACTCGATTACATATGAAAAGAATTATACTGTCTTTAAGATTAGGTTTAAATATTTACTTCAAATCTTAGACAAATTTAATCTTCAATATAGTAGTTTTTGAATTAGACTCTCATATGTATCTCTTGAAAGTTGTGTAGGTTTTGAATTAGTAGATTTCGAAGATAAAGTTAAATTTCAATATGATAACTTTTATTTTATTTTAATATTTTATTTAAAATATATTTATTTATTTAAAATGTCAAATATACTAAAAAATATATATATATATTTAAAAAAATAGTTTTTAAGTTCGTGAACCATGTGAGCTGAACCTAATGAGATGAACCTAACGAGTCGAACCGAACTGTTCGTGAACTTATAACGAGTCGAGTTTGAGCTTAAAAAAAAGTTCGTGTCAAACTCGAACTCGAACTCGAATTCGAAAAATTCTTAACGAGTCGAGCCGAGCTGAGGTGAGTTCGACTCGACTCGACTCATTTCCAGCCCTACTTCCTCCAAAAACATGAAATTACTTGGAAGGAGGGACTTGTCATTTTAACCCATAAATAAACATAATGATTTCACTCATTAATAAGGATTAATAAGGTGGAAAGAGGCTAATTGAGTTTAAAATCTTATTTTTCTCTACATAAAAGTGATGGTGGGGTAGATCCGTTGAACTTTAAGGCTTAAAATTACAAAATTTTATATAAAATTCTATACCTGCAAAAGCTTTAAAAAAATTGAGAATTTCTTAATTCATTCTTTAATATTCTTAGGCACTTAGCGCTTTTTTTTTTGCGTCTGCTACTTCCAAAAATACATATACGGACATACTTTTTTTTTTGGTTAAAAATTGATTTTTTTTCGAAACTACATCTACGAAATAATTTTAAACTGGTAAACGCTGAGAACAATTTTAAAATAATTCAGTTCAGGAAAACTTCCGTAGATGCACCTCCGGAATGTCTAAATGCCAGATTGTTTCATAGATACAGCTCTGAAAGTTTATGCTATATTTGAAACTTGCATGATCACTTCCCCCATTGTTGTGTTTTCTTCTTCCACACTCACCTTCACCAACCTAAAAAATTCTACATTCTCAATATCATTTTTCACTCTAAAACTCCAACTTTTTCGTGCAACAAATCAAAGGGAGTAAGAGAAGATTGAATTTCAGGTAAAGATTGCACTTTGTCAACTACATTGCTCACATTAATCATCAAACTTTTGAAAAAAAAGTAACGTTGCTTTCGGAGCTGTACCTTCGGAACGCGTTGAAGATGAACACTTCCGGATGTACATCTCTGAAACGTGCCTGTGACCTGTTTTTTTTTACAGCAGATATGTAATTTTTGTTTAATTTTCTTATTGTTTACAAATAGATATGATGCACTTCGATAGTATCTCAAAAGAATTAGTTTCTACAAACGATATTTCTCTGAATATTTAAGGGGTTGTCGTAAAGTCGGTAGATGTCGGCGTTGATTTTAATAACAAACAAGAGTTTGATGATCGTGATAGCATGCTCAAATGGAATCATAGGACTGCAACTAGACTTGGTTTTGGTGTGGTTATAGGAAGATCGGATAATGGTTCTGAAAGAATAAACGCTTTTGTAACTTTATTGTGCGAAAGAAGCAGAAAATATCAGACTCATGTGCGTAAGTTTAAAAGAGACAACACCTGTAGTAGAAAATGTGAATGTCCTTTTAAGATTCGTGGTTACGGAACTTGCGACGATTACGGTCTGAGATATTTTTTGGACTCATCTAGATTCGATAAAGTTGTTCAACACATTCTCGAAAGTGCTCATTCTTGATTCTACCTACAAGACCAACAAGTATATACTTCCTTTATTTGAAATTATTGATGTTACGTCTACCGAGAAGACATATGCCGTTGGTTTTGCTTTTCTAGAGTGTGAAAAAAAGGACAATTTTACATGGGCATTAGAGGTGTGTCAATCACTTTTGAAGGACCAAGTTGAGATGCCTAAAGCGATTGTTACCGACCGTGATACCACGTTGATGAACGCGGTTGCAAAGGTATTTCATTCTTCTAAAACATTATTTTGTCGATATCACATAACCAAGATTTGTCTATCCCGAAACAACCGACATGAAATCACCTTCTCAACCGGTAAAGACAAAAGGTGCTCAAAAGAAAATGAAGCCTACACCGAATGACAAATTGACTACACGGTCTCCTTCTTATTGTGAGCACATTAACAAACATTATCCCGACTCACCGACTCCTAAATCTCAAAAGAGTGTCATGAAAGGAGCCTGCATAAGCAAACCTCCTCCGACCCCGATTCCACCAAAAATTCCATTCATCGATGAGATTCCGATTTTATGGACAAATACATTGATCATATCGTCAATGTTGAAGGGGATGGTAATTGCGGTTACCGAGCCGTTTCGGCTTTGCTTTGTAAAGGAGAGGATAGTCATGCACTTGTCCTTCATCACCTGATATATATAGGGACCAAAATAAAAAACTCGCTAACTTACAGGGACCAATAGACTATTTAAGCCATTAGACTTTATTTAAAAATTAATTAATTGAGTATAAACTCAAATATGAGTGAATATCAGGATGATCCATTTTAGAATAATGGAAACTCTAATTGGTCATCACCTGATATATATGATATAGTTCTTTATATATCGTACACAAGCATACTATTTATTCTCCACATCTGAAGAGTATTCCAGATCTTAAAAGTATTGATTGCGGAAGAATCACACAAACTTTCAAGTGTTTATTGTTTCTATCTTAACCTCCGTGTTTCAAAATTATTGTCAAAAGACTTTTATTCCATTGATTAAGATATTCTTAAATACTAATTTATTAACCATTTAATTTTATACACATTTATTTGACTATTTAGTTTGAATAAATAAGTTAATGTGAAACTCGATCACTTCCTTCAATACTTTAAAAAACAAAAAAGAAAGAAAAACACAGAGCTCTCTTTCCGCCGCCGTCCCAACCTATTTTTCTCCATCCTTCCAAAATCTAAATGTTATTGTACCGATGTAAATCCACACGGTCGAGGTGCGACGCATCTCAGACCGCCCGAACCTTCACCCCTCAGGGGTTGGCGTGATGTTGGCGCTGCACTGGTCGTCTCGTTGTCACGGTTCCACTGCTTATTGCATTTTGTAGGTAGTTGGTTATGTTCTTTTTGAATCTTTAAGAGAACATCGCTTTGCAAAGCTCTCTGGTTCTGCTTCTCCGGTGGTGGTTTTACTTCTCCGACGATGTAGGCTGGTTCATAGTGGATTTGCAAAAATTTGATCTTTTTTCAGTTTTCGATTGAAATTTTCGAATCTTCTTCTCAAGCGACGTTTCACTTGTGCTAAGTGTGGAATCTAGACTTAGATCTCTGGTTCTCTCCAGATTTGTTGAGACCTGCAACTTTCATTGTATTATGGTTTGACACAACACTAGTGGTTATGTGGTGGTTATAGCCAATTCGCCGATGTCATGTTCAATTGTTGTATGATAGGATGCATTTGAGTTGCTCGCTATGATCTGGTTTGTTTAGGCTTGAAAGAGCTGTTAAGCTTGTTGTCATTTAAATTATTTGTTAAAATTGGTTGAATATGTAAATATAATTAATGATTTTTTTCACCACCAGTATCCGGCCCAATGGACCGTTTAATCTAACTCGGGGGTCTGTTTTGGCATCAAGTGGTTCCAACCTCCTTCTAATCATAGTTATGGGGGATCAACCATCGTCCTCTCTATCAAATTTAGCGTTAATCACGGCTAAATCGACTAACAGTTGATATGTAATTACTTATTTAATTCCAACATATTGTAGTTTGAAAACCAAGCTTCCGCGTTAAGGCGACATTTTTTTAA